GGGTCCAATTAGGGTCTATTTAAGAGTTCTAAGCCCAAAATAGTCAAACTGGAAGCTTATTGGCCCATTAGGCCCAATAAGGATATCCTAGTCCATAATGGACTTAAACCGGCATTTCTAGGATTTCCAATTCTTTGTTGACTATTTAAAGTTGTGTATAGTGTGACATCCCCATTTTCACGGCCAGAAAAGACCGATTTTGTTTATGCTTTATAAAAATCAGAGTATCTCTTTTAATAAAAACGTTGAGGAATTTGTTCCCAGTAAAACATGATAAATACGTTATCAAAGCATTTCCGATGAAAAGTATTTTTATTCATTTTAAAACATTTGGGATGTCATCGTCAATACAAAAACATAAGCATAAACAGAACTTACATTCATTATCGCTAGTGATTTACATCTCCTTAATCTCTCAGTATAATGTGACATCATAACAACACCTGTGATATAAATAAACTGAGTGAGTCAGATTGGGAAACCTGGTGAGTACATAGGGTTTTCAACCCACAATAATATAATTATTATGTTTAAACAATCAAACAATCAACCCAATTACCCATCCCCATTATCTTCCTTACTCTTAAGATTCTATCCTAAGAGTCATCTATCCGACATTCGTTCATTCTGAAGTCCTTCGCTTCCAGGGTTATAGGACTGGCACTAAGTCCATAGCTGCCAAGGCTCATTCGTAAATCACTAATTCCATAGCTGCTAAAGTTCATTCATTGGGTACTAAATCCATAGCTACCGATGTCTAGGTACTAAGTCCATAGCTACCAGCATTTATTCAATAGGCACTAAGTCCATAGCTACCAATGATCATTCATATCATCTTTTATCTCTCATCATTCATCTACCCATGTTAAACCTAACATATTTGTAGATATAAAATACGTGTACAGTTTAAATCATTTAAAACTTGTATAAAATCGTTAATCCAGCATAGATAGCAAGTATACAGATAATATGCACACATAGCACGTAGTTTATATAAAATACTTCATATCTATGTGTAAGATGAAATTAACTATGCACTCAGTTGATAAGGTGATGACTCGGTACTCGTACAGCACTTCGATACTGTTAAAACAATTTCCCTCGGACAAAACCTAGTATCATTACCACTAGAGTTTAGTCTAACGTTAACCGCGACTAATTAATAGTCTACATATTATTACTATTATATAAACGTTAAGAAACACTCTTATATAACTCATAATAATAGCCCAAATACTCATGATAAGTTCCTAATAACGTTACTATATTAAAACATAAGCTATACTAAAGATATGGTAGACATAGCTCACTTACAGCAGGTTTTACTGAAAATTAGGCTTTGCTTGAGAAGTGTTTCCGAGTCGAAAGCTCTTATTTTTGGAGCCATCGGGCGCTCCGGGGCTTCTGCCTCATGCTAGGGGGTTCCCTAGGCTTTTTTTTTTTTTTTGGGGGGGGGGGGGGGGGGGGGTTTCGGGAGGTTTAGAGAGTGTTTCTAGAGAGAGAAAGAAGGGGTGAAGGTGTGAGGTTGAAGGCTGCCCCGAAACCTTTATTTATAGTGCTCCTGGAGGGTCACCATGTCGTGGTGGCCCTCACCACGTCGTGGTGTTGCGTAGGCTCCAAGTTTTCACCTGGTGCTGCACGTGACATTGCACACAAGGTGGAAATAAGCCGATTTTCAAAAATTCATAACTTTCGCATACAAACTCCGTTTTCGACATTCTTTATATCCACGCGTAGGTAAAATCAAGATCTACAACTTTTATTTAGACTCTGTTGGCTAATTCTCGACCGATCTCAAATTTAACAGTAGGAGGCGTTTAGACTGTTAAATGACCGCGAAGAATTCGTAACTCCTTCATACGGACTCCATTCTTGTTTATATTTTTACCATTGAGTTCCTATTAATGAGATCTTCAACTGTCATTTAGGTCGTGTAAGCTAAAAACCGCTCGAACTAAAATTCGAGTTTCGGGTTGTACATTGCTAAGCCGAAACTTTGAAAAATCATAACTTCCTCATACAAAGTCAGATTTGGGCGTTCTTTTTTTGTATGTTATCGGTTTAACGTATACTACAACTTTTGTTTAGATCACTAAGGCTAAAAAGTCCTCTATCTTAAATTCACTATTTACGTCTCCTGGTGTCGTGCCGGTTTTGCCGAAAAACTTCGACGGGTCATAACTTCTTCGCTATAACTCGAATTTCGGCGTCTTTATATGTACAGAACCCTTGAGACATATTCTACAACTTGGTTAAGATTATTTATTCTAAATAATCTTTTGTCGAAAAGTCGTTTTCGACCCCTATTATCTCTAAATTGATTAGCCTGGATCTACGGGCGTTACATATAGAGTGTTTGATGGAAATTTTGTTGTCATTGCATAAACATCATACATGCTTCGAAGTTTCAATCACCTTGTTATCATTGTTCAATGTTTACAAAGCATCAGAATTCCTAATTGTGACAAGTGTTACAAGAAGTCCTTTGGTCTTGTACCAACTAAGTAGGTTGATGAAACACTATATGATATGTGAAGTGGGATTCACTCCTCATTAGCACACATGTAAGTTTAAGATTATAAGGCTTACGTTTTTCGAAAAGCACTCGACAATCTAGAACTTAGAATAGAGACGTTTTATCTTGTTGGAGAACCGATCAAACATTTTGGATAGTTGTTTAACAAACCTTCTTACAACAAAGTGTATGTTGCTCGAAGGGCAGTCTTCCAGGAGAGGGATCTGATATCCAATAGGGATAGTGAGAGCTATTAAGGAAACTGACATATTTACACTTTTTCCTTATAGATCCGATAGAGGAAGTTATACACCTAGTTATATAAGAGTTTATATTGCTAAGGTATATGAGTCATTGGTAGGTAGCAATCAGAGTTACCAGCTATCGGAATCTATGGTAGGGCCTAAATGCTACAAAATGAAAGGAAGACATGGAAAGCGAGATTATGTCCATGTATGTTGAAACTTGGTAGATTAAGCACTTGACCTTGACCAGTAGGTGTAAGTGGATCTTCAATAAGAGACAAGAATGGATAGGATCAAACACATAACCAAATCAAGATAAGTTGTGAAGGATGTGTAAGCTTAATAGGCAATGATTCCACAATCCTCTCTAATAAACATAAAACGATGCATTTTTTTGTGATGAAATGGAAAATTTGAAAATGAATGATCAGATAATCAAGTCAAACAACATATTTATAAAAGTCAAATTCCAGTAGTTACAACTGTTCATGAAAAGTTGCAATGGTTCGAAAATACTTGTAAAAATGTTTTATCCTACCAAAATACCGTAGACACTAGCCATTTTTTTTAGAATCCCCTCCAAAAAGTTTTGAAATTTTTGAAGGGATTCTAACCTAATAACTCATCGAAGTTTTCATCACCCAAGAATGCCAACAATAATCCTACAATTCTCACTCATGAACACGAAATAATGAATTTTTTGTGGTGAAATGGAAAACTTAAAAAAGTGAATGATCATAAAATCAAGCCAAACGATATATTTATAGCACTTAAATTCCAATGGTTACAACTCTTCACAAAAAGTTGCAATGGTTCAAAAAGATTTGTAAAATACAATTTTACCACCAAAATACTCTAAACACTAACTGCCTTTTAGAATTTCTTTCAAATAATTTTTGAAATTTTTGAATGGAATTTGAATTTGAACTAATAAACTCACCAAAGTTTTCATTTCTTTTAATGGTTCGAAAATACAACCTTTTAGAATTCTTTACAAATCATTTTTGAAATTTTTTAATGGAATTTGAATTTGAACTAATAAACTCATCAAAGTTTTCATTTCTTTATGAAAAAGCTGTAATGGTTCAAAAAAAATCATTCCTTATGAAAAAATTGTAATGGTTCAAAAATACAAAGACAAATTTTCCTGTGAAAAGATACTAACCTCATTTTAGCATCTCTCTAAATCACTTTTGAGATTTTTGAATGGAACTTAGGGGGTGTTTGGATAGGGAAAAAAGTGGTTGCTTATTGCTTATTACTTATTCTCACAACAATAAGTTGAGTTGAAGTGTTTGGATAGGAAGTTTAGAAAACCAACCTATTGTGGTAGGAATAAGCTAAATAAGCTGATTTTAATAAGCAATGGGGGAATGCTTATTGCTTATTGCTTATTTTTAATGATTTCGGAAATTACCTAATTACCCTTCAAAAAAATGATACATAAACCCACAAACCCTTTTTTCGATCAATTGCTTCACATCTGCTGCCAATCGCTATTCCTTCTTCTCCACTAGCCATCAACGATCTTCAAACTAGCCATCGATGATCTTCAAGCCATCGACCATCGACAATCAAGTAGGTTTGCTGCTTTACTGCTTCTTCCTTTTTTTCTCGTCTGGTAACACAACCTGTTTATGTTTCTTTATTTTTTTGTTTGGTCATGCATAAATTGACGATGAAGCCATTGATTGTTCTTTTTTTCTTCATTCTTGATTGTTCTTGTTAATTGCTGCTATTAATGCTTCTACCTGTGATATTGTTTCTTTCTCTTTTTTTTTTTTTTGCTCCTACCTGCTAAAAAACTGCCACTGTGATGGTAAACTTCCCCTGTAATGCTTGATCATAAACTTCCATGTGATGCTTCTATTTTTTCTTCATTATTCTTATGGTTATTTGCTCCTATTGATGGTACTGATTCTTGTTTGTATTCATAAATTCCTCTACCTGTTTTGATTCAACATTAGGTTGAAATTTAAGAATTTTCTTCATTCCTTATCATGTTGTAATATAGGTAATGGACACTGTCAATGTTCATGATGTGGATATTGATACACCCAAAGTGAAAGTTACAAATAGGTTTTATTGGGATCCTCATACATTCAAGATATTTCTTGAGGAATGTATGACCGAGCTAAAAAAACAGGAATACACCGGGTGCTTATTTCAAACAGCCTGCGTGCCAAAATATATGTAAGAGGCTTTTGGAAGAAACGGGTAAAGAATTGGACAAAAATCAAATGAAAAACAAATGGGTCATTATGCGGAAAGAGTTCAAATATTATGACCGTTTAACAAGACTAGAAATAGGAATTTCAACTGATCCCATGAGAAATATAATCTCATCATCAAAGGAACGGTGGGATGAGAAAATAAAGGTAACAATTAAAAATTTTATCCAACAATATATTATTTGTATTGTGTTTTTCATGACATTCTCATTTTGTACATATGGGAAAATAAAGAGTATGCTATGTGTAAGGATAAGAATTTGGATGTATATCAGACATATTACGAGGCTTTATTTCGGGATACCATAGTTGTTGGAGACAAGGCTAAGGTACCTTGCGAATTTGGCGACGGTAGCACTCCAGATGATGTACAATTTGTGGATATTACGGATGGAAAAATGGATACTGACGAAGTCCGCTTATTCGAAGATGTTGATCCTTTTCTCGCATAAGATAGCTCTAGTATGAAAAGGAGGGGAAAGAAGTTAACTCCCAAGCGTGACAACAAACGAAAATTTGAAGGGAAAAATGAAGGAAAAACTGAACGAAATCGGTTAGTTCAAGAATTCTTTAATCATTCTGGGAAAACAATCCATAGACATTTTCATAAAGTATTGGATGTTGTGGTTAACCTAAGTAAGGACATCATTAAACCAAATGCTAACTACAACGAAACTATACCATAACATATTTTAAATAACCTCGATATTATCCATACTTCAAGGTACTTATTTGTTGCAAAGTTATGTTATTTGGTGAATTTGTGTAATTGTAAAAATAATTAGTAACTTATTATGTTTTTTGAATTTGTAGGATTGTATTGGTGTCATCGATGGAACACATATGAAGGCCTCTGCTCCGCAACGTGACCAAATCAAATGCACATGACACGAGAATTTTCAATGAAGCACAAAGGAGACGTGAAGTTAAGTTTCCACTTCCAGCCGATGGTTAGTATCATTACTTATTAATAGAAGTTTTATATTTTCAAACGGTATAATTGAATAACAATCATATGCTTTATTTGTACCTCTATAGGTAAGTTTTACCTTGTAGGCGCCGAATATCCTAATACAAAAGGTTATCTTACTCCCTACAAAGGTTCAAACATCCATTATCGTATTCCTGATTTTTGACGTGGACAAACTCGTGCCTCGCGGGAACCAAAAGGCTTCAAAGAAAATTTTAACTATTATCATTTGTCACTTCGCAATGTAATTAAACGAACTTTTGGAGTCTGAAAGGCTCGATGGGTGTTACTAAGAGATATGCATGTAAATTTCAACTTCGAGACCCAAGTTAAAATTGTGCTAGCTTCAATGGCAATTCACAATTACATTAGAATGAGCGGTAGTGGTGATGCAACATTTCAAATAGCGCAAGAAGAATCTTATATTCCGCGCAATGATGAAGGACCAGATGATGGTATTGAGTCACATGACGAAGTATCAAGTAGACAACGTAGAAGTGATGATATGTATATAAGTGCAATACGCAATATGATTACGGGACATATATTCTCAAGGTCAAACACTCGTGCACGTAACGGCGTATGATTTGTTTTGAAACTCTTTGGTATTTTCATTTAATGGTTTAATGTAGTAGCATGAAACTATTTTGGATAATATTTTGGATATTTTGGATAATATGTTGGATAATATGGATTTGGAATGAAATTTGTGGCCTCATATGGTTTTGCATGATAAATATTTTTTTAATTCTTATAGATAAGAACACTATGGTCTAATGTTACTTGAATATTTCGATAGGTGTATTCGATCAATTTAAAAATAGGTGTAAAAATAATGTGGTAAATGTTTTTTTAGTTATTATAAATAAGAAAATTATTATTATTATTTAAAAAACAAAAATGTTTTGTTTTAATAAGAAAAATATGTTAACATATAAGAAGAAACCATTTTTGGTCATTTTACTCATATAAATTGTTTTGTTTGCCAAACACTTGAAAATATTTATTGTTTATTGTTTATTCCCACCGCAATAAGATAATCCAAATACTTTTTAAAAAGACTGTTTATTCCCACCACAATAAACTAATAAGCTAAAAACCAATTTATCCAAACACCCCCTTAAACTAATAAGCCCATAAAAGTATCTGGAGCTCGTTGTTAAAGTAAAACAACTACTAAAAACAAAGTGATAAATACTATATATACTCCCTAATAAATGAAAATATTTTTATCACGTGTCATTCTTTCTTTGATTTGGACAAATGATATTTTCTCATATTTTTAGATTTTATTGTTGTCTACATGTAATTATCTGAACAAATAAATGTCACATACTCACATATTTTTTTCTTAAATCTCAAATGCAAAATCAATCTTAAAATAAATCATAATCAATCCTATAAATAATACCGGCATGAAAATTGTTTTCTTTCTAATGTGAATCCGAAAATTCAATCTATATTGACAAAATTCATTGTCATTCATACAAACTTTCCATAAAATTATTTAATGTTACAAAGTTGATATTGATTTTTTTAAATGTTCCCTCTAGGTGTTATCTACTTAGCGTCCGTTATTTGGACAAGGAATATGATGTTGTATTCCTTCTCTCTGGAGAGTACATATTTTTGCTGCAAAAAGGAAGTGAATCATAGTGTTTAATGATTTCGAAGGAAATGGACTGAGTTTTCATCCGGAAAATTGCTGGTATTTTCTACTGAAGACTATATAACCCAAGTTGTAGGTTCATATCATAGATCTGTTGCAAGCAAAATACAACCAAAGTTGATCATTAACTTTTGATAACCAGGTTGAAATTGCCACCTAGACTTTGATTACTGTTTCATGGTTCTACTTAAGGATAATTTCCCTCTATTCTTTTTAGTTGTCATTTAAAAAAAAAAAAAAAAAAAAAAAAAAAAATCCGCACTATCCTTTGAAAATAGTAAAAGCATGTTTTGTGTCATCAACCAATAAATTTTTTCCATAATAATAACGTTATAATCTTCAATTTTATGTCCTAACAAAAGAAAAAAAAAAACCGATGCCTCTATTCATACCCATTCACAATTTGACGTTCAATGTTCATTCTACTATCTATAACTATTCAGGTTTCACCTCCATGTTCTTGTGCATTAAAAGCCGACATATTTTCTTTATAACCAGAGCATTTTCCATTTAGAAGCAAATAAATCTCATTGTCACGCCCCATCTTACCAAACACCTCTAAAGCATACTCCCCAAGAACAGGGACAATCCCAACATCATAATTAACCATTTGTTGCAACAAAAACAAACCCCTCTCATAATATAAAGCTCCACAACATGCTCTGATCACAATATCATAAGTAGTAGCATCCGGTTTCGGGTCTCTTTTACCCATTTTAGTCAAAATTCGCTCACACTCCAAAACCTTTCCATTCTCAATCATATTAGAGAACCATTTGTTGGCATTAGTAGGAATCACTCTCAAACCATCATCCACCATCGTCGTATACTTCTCAATAGCTTTATCAATTCTTCCAGCGTTAAAATAAGCATCAATCAAAGTCTTGTAAATGTTGACATCAGGTGATAAATACTTCATAAGCATTTCCACGTACATTTTTTCTGAATCATCTATCATGTCATTCTCACAATACCTCATTATGATATTACTATAACCCGCTGTATCCATTGAAAAAGACTTAGTCATTGGTGCGTTAAAAATCTTCTTGAAAACACTATCCATAACGTCATTATCAAAGTACGTCTCTCTATCCATGTCAATTAAAGGCTTCTTTGACTTTGGTGATTTACCAACCTTTTTGAAAACACTATAAGCTTCTGACCCTTTCCCGATTTTGAAACATTCATTCACCATGATATTGAAAGTATCGGAATTCACTGCTGAGAAAACATGTGGGTTGTGTGTATCTAACATGCTATTGAACAAAGCTTCGGCCTCTGGTTTCTTGTCCCACTTGAGAAGAACCTCTAATAGCTTATTACATATGTAGCAGGAACCATTTTGAATTCTTTATCTAACAAAGACTGGTAAGACTCCATGGCTTCTTTTGGTTTACCTTTACTGAAGAACCACTCCATGAAGGTTGCATTGATGATACCATCATAAACCCTGCAACTGAATTTAAGTTCATCAAAGAATTCATTCGCTTTTTCCAGATTATCCAAATTGAGATATCCAGATATGATATGTTGTTGAAGACATGAGAGTCAGCGCCTTTGCCATTCCAAATCATTGTCCATAGTAAGCTCACTGCTTCATCGATACGCCCAGCATCAATCAGACCCTTGGTTAAATAACGATAAGTAACTGGAGAGGGAGTAAAAGGAGCATTATCCTTAATGTGTTGGTAGACTTGTATGGCTTTATCAACTTCTCAATTTTCGCAGTGGGATACAATCAAGAAATTGTAGGAGACAACATTAGGAACTATGTTCGATTGTTTGAAAAAGTAGTTGAAAAGAGCTATGGCGTCTAAATACCGCTTCGTACGATACATTGAGGCGATGATTTCGTTGCAGGTGAAAACGGTGGGACGTATGCTGAAAAGAAGTGAGTGTCGAGCAAGAGCAGAGGCGTTGTCGAGATCACCGGCTCGGATTAGCGATTGGACGCGGTTGTGGAGACTGAGTCGAGGTCCATGAGCGAGATCTGTTAAAGAATCAGGTATATTAGGGTCGAGGTGTTCTGCGGCCGAAGAAAGGGCGAAGGTTCTAAGAGGGATTAAGGAGTTAAGGTTTGTTGTTTGAGACTGGAGTGGTAGAGATTGAGGGTTTATGGCGGCGGTTATGATGGTGGTAGTGGTGGTGCGGAGAGATACGGGACGGCGGAGGGAGCGAAGGATTAATCGAGCCACCGTCATGGTTGGAGTGTGGATGGGAAATTTGGAAGAACCCTAGTTAAACCCTCTAATATTTGTCTTATCTTCTATAACAGATTCTATCATTCTACGTACTCATACTGGGGAACAATGTTTAAAAAGAAAAAGACAAAATTACAAAATTGATCTATATGGTTTCCTTTTTCCAGATTAGGTCCAACAATTTTTCATAAGCTTACACAAACACCCCTAAACCCTCTATGAATGAAGCTAAATATTTAAATTCGTTTTCTATCGAGAAACTATGGGCTAATGTCATATAAGTTTTACCCTATTTTTGGCTCATTAAAACTAAAGATTTAGGTAATTTTTGTATTTCTACTCGTTCAAACAATGTCTTAAAAGATTTTTTTTTTTTTTTAAACATACAAAATATAATGAATTTTGTACAATTTTTAATTTGTTTTTTTATTATTGTCATTCTTAACCGGTTATTGCACATATGTTTTTTGGCAGTTTGTTATAATTTTTTAAAAAGTGAAAATGCATTTGTATTATACATATTGCAAGTAAAAATCATGATAAATAATATATTTACACTATCGAGTTTTAATTTTCTTAATTTTTTTTAAAAAAACTTCCCTAATAAGGGTTAAGTTTTTGTATACAGACTAATCTTCCTTTGCAAGGCCGGTTCATTAGTTTTTTATGCCCTTAACGAAGATATTTAATTATACCCCTTCATTTGTTTCAATCATATACAAATTTTAGTTCATAAAAGCATATTTTAAAACAATATAAATGGGTCATGGTAGTCTACAAATATGAATAATATACGGTACATTTAGTATGCTTTAGGACTCACACTTTTTCTAGTTCTAAGCTTAGAACAATTCTTAAGTAAAGAAAATTCATTAAATAACGAAAAGTTTGGGGGTGTTTTCAGCAAATAACCATGAAATTTTGAGTTTTGTAAAATGATCATCAGATCTGCAGAGGGGGCTCTGCGGATCACATAATGTCTTTGAAGAACTTAGCACACCTTGCGGAAATGAGGTGGCATTACTAAAAGATAATTTTTTTTGGGTTTTTAAGGTTCCACAGAGATATCTCTGCGGATCTTGTGAACACCTCTGCGGATTGTTTAACATCTCTTACGAATGGGTATGAACAAAATTTTAAGAGAATTTTTTTGGGATTTTTAAGTATTTACCCATTCCTCATAGACATTAAGCGATCCGCAGAGGTGTTCACGAGATCTGCAGAGACACCTCTGCGGAACCATTAGAACCCAAAAAAAAAAAAAATTGTCTTTTAGTGGTGTCACGTCATTTCCGCAGTACCGTGCGTCGTTCCTTAGAGGATTAAAGGGATCCGCAGAACCTCCTCTGCGGATCTCGTGTCATTTTCCATTTTCCAAATCTCAAAATCCCATGGTTATTTGTTGAAAACAACCCCTAACTTTTGGTTATTTCATTAATTTTCTCTTCTTAATATGGTTGTAGTTATTCATAATTATAACAAACTATGGAAGAATCTCCGCTTTGCGTGATTGGACACACCAAAGAGTTCATCATAGTTACTTTGTAGATGTATCCGATAGAGCTTTTTATTAGAAAATTACATGGGTCAAAGCAAGAAAAAAATTTACATCAGTCAAATCCATTTGTTAGTAATTGCAATTCCAACACTTTCCACATCACAAAACAAAAAAATAAACCAATCAGCATGAAGAAAGTATCCAACACCAATTTTAGATAATAATTCAACTGTAAAAATATATTTATATAAGAACAACAATTAACACCAACTTCTATTGTGTAACACCGTAAATTTCAAAACAATTTTTCGCATTTTATAAAAAACATAATTCATTTAATATTCGTAAAAACACCCATGTTTGAAATACAATTCATGTCATACAAGAATCCCAAGATCTCATAACATAAAATCCTGAGTGTGTGTACTGATCAAGCCGGCGCCTTCCCACGGTCGTCACTAGTACCTGAAACAAATAACATCAAACACTGTAAGCACAAAGCTTAGTGAGTTCCCCAAAATACCACATATAACACATATTATCCACTCGAGGCTATAACTCTGTGGGTCCGTGCACCCAAACTCTGTGAACCCTCAGGTTCTAACTTTGTAAACATGCACAGCATAAATCACATAGAATAATGCAGCGCAACACATAACACATATATAGCATACAAGCACTGTATCTCATAACTCTAGTTACCTACTCAAGGTAAAGTATAGTGAGAAGACTCACCTCGTGTATCTCGATAACTCGTAAATCCCTGGAATCACTCGTGCTCGATCCCCCGAACTATAATCTTCCTATAATACAAATATAACTCTAATTAACACTTTTACAACTAAGGTTGACTAACCCTATCAAGTCAACACTAGTCAACTCTGGTCAACGGTCAACTTTGACCGGACTCGGCAAGTGCACCAAAGCAACTCGGCGAGTCTAACGTGTTCACTGACTCCCTCGGATCTTTTCTTGGCACGTCGAGCACTCCCCTAACTCGACGAGTTCCACCTGGCATGAATCGCAGGGCAACCACGACTCAACTCGCCGAGTCTCAAGAACCAGTCGGCGAGTTCCGGCTTGACTCAACCCCATATTGACTCTCCCTAACTCACTGGGTTATCCCCCAACCCGGCGAGTCCACTCGCTGAACACTTTACGTGAAACCCCAACCCTACTCGCAGTCCCAAGAACAACTCGGCGAGTTCATGCCATGCACACACTTTTATTGACCTTCTGAGGTGAGATCTGCTTTCCCAAACCATAGATTTGTCCTTCCCAAGCATGAATGTCACGTAAAGTTCGGAACTTGATGCTTGTATAACCCCCACAAGGCATCAAAAGGTGATTTGGTCCCAAAAATAACCACCTAGGTCCAATGACTCCATAATAACCCAAAAAGCTCCAATGGTTAAGGTCTCTGGACCTCTTTGAGTCCAAATCCAAGGCACAAACTCGAAGAGGGACCATTTGCTTCACATAATCACTCTCCAAAGGGGTTATAAAACCCTAACTCTAAAGATCAACCCTATAATTGAAGGATATTCGAACCATTACCTCAAAATGAAGCCTCTGGACTTTGGATATGCTGGAATCTCACCTCCTCCTTGCTCTTGCCACCTTCCTCTTGCTAAACAAAGAATACAAAGGCTCAAAAGTGACTTCCTCTCTTCCCAAAACGAATTAGCTCTCTTAGGGTTCTCTCAAGGGACTGGTAGCCGCAATGGGAGGCTATAAGTGCCCTTAAATAGGCTCTAAACCCGGAGAATTAGGGTTTCATTAAACAGCGTGGACTCGCCGAGTCCAGACGCGAACCCTCGTCCAAATCGTGATCCTACTCGGTGAGTTTGAGCTCCAACTCGCCGAGTCTCCTCACAAAATACCAAAAATATAAGAGTGAATAATACATGGGAATCCGGGTTGTTACATATTGCCGCCAACTCTCGTAACTCATTGTTAGCCCCATGATATGACTCATCTGCAGAAAAATAAAATAATAAGAAAATAAAGACAAATCATATCTACAAAACTTGAATAAAATGGTAATAATATGGGTCGGATGGTTATTTTCATAATATTAACTAATAAAGAAGGAAAAGCTAACATGATAGCGGAATATTCTAAATGTTACCAGTTTAGCTATGGTATCAAATTTCTTGATTTCAATTACATCATCAAGTTTTTCAACATCTTCTTCGGCAATGCCACTTAAGACTCTTGAAATAGCACCATCGAAAAATCATAATAAAAAAAATTGAGTTACTAATTTCATGGAACATATAAGGAACTGTTGGATTATGTGTCTAAGCTCATAACTATTTTGGTATGTACTTGACCCGATTACGAGCATGGTCCTTTTGGGTTGCCTTCACCATAGCAACTGGTAGGATGAATTAAGCAGAAGATGATTAATTATGATTTATTAATATATTATTTGAATAATATATTAAAGGAGAAATCATATTGTTTAATTAATATTAGTCAAGAATTAATTAAGAATTAATTTTGTGGCTAAAAGAGATTAATTAAACTTTGGGGACTAATATTATAATTATAAGATAATTGCATTGTGGGCTATGGATTCCTAATGAAAAGGGAATAGGATGAAATCTATGGGAAGCCCATATGGATTTCATCCAAGGGCTTTCTAAAGGGACTCTATGGGTTGCTTAAGGCCTAAGTAGAGAATTAGGATTTCACCCAAAACCTTAACAGCCCACACAAGTATAAAAAGGAACCCTAGGGCTCCCAAAAACGTGGCTAAGCATTCCTTGGAGTATCTTGGATGTTTTTGGTGCCTCCTCCCTCTCTCCTTGTTCATCTTGCTGCTCATGGTGTTTGTGACTCAATTAGAGGTGCAACATTTGAGGCACTAAGCTTTCAGAAGTCAAGATCAAGAGGAATTGAGATTGTTATTGCTACATAACACTCAAGGTAAGATCTAAACCCTATTCTTATGTTAATATCGATTATCACATGCTAGATCTAAGGTTTATGAACTTTGGATGATTATTGCATGTTCATTAGACAATCTTGATCCAAAGCTTTAGGGTTTGCATGTAAACCCTAGGATTGATGTTTTTTCTCAAAACTCATCAGTGTTATCAGAGCTTAGGATGTTTGTTTGATGTATTTGATGCTTGTATGATTATTCTTGGCCTGAAAATTGATTTTTTTTTGTCCTCTGCCTGACTGACTCGGCGAGTTAGTGGATGAACTCGGCGAGTCATCCTGGCTCAGTGAGTCCAGGGGTCAGACAGAGGATATTTTAGGATTTTTACTGATTTGGCTGTGGGATAATTACCATAAACGTTTTTTGATGATAAAATCTGATTTTTATTGATAAAATCTTATTTTTATTGATAAAATCTTATTTTTATTGATATTATGTGATTATGCTTACCAAAATAGTAGATAATTGTCAAATTAATTAGATAATCATTGCCTAATGTGATAAACTTGATTTATTTGAATTATTTGATAAATTATCTTGCAAGAAATT